GGTAACAATTCAAAGAGGCTTTTTTGGAGCATGTTTGTCCAATATAATACACAATTTGATGTACCAACTACTTCTATCATTACCATTGATAGAGCATTCAAAGAAAATGAAATCCTTGGAATGATTATTTTCTCTGTTTATCATGATTTTGTTCACTGAGTTGTGAGGATTTTTTATTTTAATATTGAATCCATTAATCTTCATCAGTCTGTACTTCAAGTTTCCTTCCCTTTTAGCAAGTAAGGTGGTGTCATTCATACACCCCAGGCTTTCCTTCCTATCTTGATGCCATGTTTTACTTCATATAGTCAAATTCCTAGGATTATATTCTTGAACAATTAATCAAATTTACACACCAAACAATACTGCCAAAGATGAAGAGATGCAAGATTTTACCAACTCCGCCATCAGAAATTGACTGGAGGAAGATCCTTCAACAACCTGCATTACGCGGATGGCATGACCCTGCACACTGAAAGTGAAGGACTTGAATCACTCACCAAAAAAGACCAAACACTGCAGCTCCCAGTATGCATTTCACCTCAACATAAAGAAAATAAAAATCCTCCCAACTAGACCAATAAATAGCATTGCGATAAACTCAGAGAATAAGAAAGTTGCCAAGGATTTAATCTTACTTGGACCTACAAGCCATGCCCGTAGAAGCAGCAATCAAGAAATCAAATGATGTGCATACAGCATTGGGTAAATGACCTCTTCAAAGGGTCAAAAAGCCAAGATGTTGCTTTAGGACTGAGTCTAGAAGTCATGATATTGTCAATACTCTCATGTGTATGTGAAAGCTCACGATGAAGAAGGAAGACCAAAGAAGAATGGATGCCTTTGAATTACAGTGTTGGTGAAAAATGCTACATGTACCATGGCCTTTCAGAAAAATGAACGAATCGGTCTTGGAAGAAACACAGCTGGTAGCATCTTTGTTTTCCTTAGAAGTAAAGGTGGTGAGACTTAGTCTCATGTACTTCGGGCATGTTATTTGGAAGGACCAGTCCCTGAAGGAAGACCTCAAGCTTGGTAAAGTAGGTGATCAGTGAAAAAGAGTTAGACCCTCAAGGAGATAAGTTTACACAGTGGCTGTAACAGTAGGTTCCACACACACAATTGCGAGGAAAAGTAGTGTTTTATTCTATCATCCCCAAAATGGCTGGGACTCAGAACCAGCTTTGCAGCGTCTCCCACCACCTCCCACTCCCACCCCCAAAGACTTCCTCTTGTTCAAAGGCTGAACCCAGACCTGGTCTTCCAGAAACTCTGGGCCCCAGCTTCACTTGAAGCCGTGTTCCTCAGGAGATGGTATGGAGTCGAGGGTTGGGGCAGAGGCTCAGAATTAGGTTGCCCGGATTTAGCTTCCAGTTCCACCAGTGACCGTGGCCAAGCTCTGTGTCTTCGCTTCCTTTCCTGCGCTCAGAGGTTGTCTTAGGATAGGTTGTCTCGAGAAGAAAAACCAATGATGTTTCGTATATATTTAATATATATTTATCATATATGCATTTCATATATATATGTATGTCATATATCTCATATATATTTCACATATATATTTTACATACATATTCCACATATATATTTCACATATATATAAAATTGTTGTTGATTGCCATTGAGTTGAGCAGACTTATAGTGACCCTATGAACAAAAGACCTGAAGCTTTTCTATAACTCTCATCGTGTCCCGTTGAGGTGGAACTGACCCATAGCTGACCCTCAGGCGGGTTCTCAGAGGCAGTTAATCGCATGGGAGAAGATTGCCCATCCTTCTCCCACAGAGCAGCTGGTGGGATTAGAACTGTGTGCCTTCGGGATTGCAGCACAGCTTCTTGCCACTAGGCCACCAGAGCTCCCTGAGACAAGATATATACACACACACAAATATATATATATACACACATATATATGTGTGTGTGTGTGTGTGTTTTTATTTTAGTTTCTCAAAGTGGTCGACCCACCTTACCCCCTGACATTAAGGTCCAAGAGTTCAGGGTGCTCTGCACCTTAATCAACACTTGGTAATATCAGCCTTTTTCATGTTAGCCACTGTACTAGGTGTGTACTTAATTGAAGTTCTAATTTGCATTTCTCTTATGAGTAATGAGGCTGAGCCTCTTTTCCTGTGTCCACTGACCATTTGGAGAGCCTTGCTTTTGAAGTATCTGTTTATTTAGTTTGGTTATTGCCTATTATTCATCTGTAGGATTTAGAAAACATGTTCCGAATACAAGGCCTTTGTTTAGACCCGTGGGTTGCCAATATCGTCTTCCACGCAATGCCCTTTCACATTCTTAATGATCTCCTTTGATCAGCAGAAGTATTTAATTGTGAAGAAGTCCAATTTACCCACTTTTAAAGTTTATGGTCAGTGCTATTTGCATCCTTTTAGAAATCTTTGCCTATCCCGTCAGCATCCATTGAAGCCATCCTCTCCTGCTTAACTTCTTTGACTTTGCCCAGCTCCTTGCTGGCAGATTTCTCCTGGATTGGACGTCCTTCCCTCACTGTCCTCTCCTTGGGTGCCTGCTCCCCCTCAGCTCATCTGTCTCTCTCCACGATCGTCCTGAACAAGCCCTCCTCGGTCACCTCCTCGGTCCCAGCGTTGGTGCAGGCTCTGGCAGACACTAGGTGCTCAGTAAAAGCTTCGTAAATGAGTGCACTGTCCCTCGGCCCAGCTGGGGATCATTAAAACTGTCAATTAGTTCTAAACACCAGCTCATCAGGAACATTTGAGCAAAGCCAGGCGAGTAAAAAAGTTTTGGAAAAACCCGCAAGATAGGAATGTTTAGCTCTCTCCCCAACTGGAGCATTAATCACGAAAATTCAGACCTTGTTAGCATTATTTATTCTTGCGTCTGCCCCCACGGGACCGGGGGGGGGGGCTTTCTCCCACCCAGCACCTCCCCTCTGTATTTGCTGACTCTGAGGGGAGGCACATCGGCGTCCTTCTAGTCCTTCTCTTCGCCGTGCGTGATGACGTAACATAGGTTCCTATAGTCCAGGTTGCCACACACATCTGGAGGGAAAGCTGCAAACATCTGCTTGATCTGAGGGTGGAAGAGAGTCAAGATGGACCAGGGTCCCAGAGTGGCTGCGGGCTGGAGCAGTGGGTCTTGGGGGTGGGGGTCAGGTAGCACCGTCCCCCTCCACCAGGGCGCAGGGCCAAGCCTAGAACCAAGGCCGCCCAGCTCTAACCCTTGAATTCCCACCAGCTACTTGCTTGCTCTTCACCGTGGAGATGGAGGAGACCAATTTGAAGAAAAGGGTCCCAGAGGGGAGGTGGGGCTACAGAGCAGGCTGGACCCCAGAAAGACCCTCCATGGTGTGGGAAGGACCCTGCAAAGGCCAGGCTTACCTCGTCCTCACTGAACCTGTCTGCCTGGGTCATGAGCTTCTCCTTGATGCTGCTCAAGGGAGAGAAAAGGAGATGATATGCTCAGGGTGGGGCTTCCCCACTGGGCCTCGCAGGTCCACGCAGATGCTGGGGTGCAGGCAAAGAAGGCAGGTGAGGGAGTAGGGGGAGTCCTGGCCCAGAAGGACATCAGCTTTGGCCTGGCCCTACTTGCCCTTGTCTGGCCACATGGACTCACACAGGTCATATCCGTTCTCCAAGCCTCCACACATCCATATCTGTGATGTGGGCTTTCCGCCAGCACCGAGGAGACCAAACGTAAACCTTGGAGCCTGACTTCTCACCGCACTGAGGTTAGCCTCTAGATCCCTGCAGGGAGCAACCTTCTTCCTCTTGAGTCCTGACAGGTAACTTGGTGATGATCCCTGAGCTCTCTTGAGGCTTTACAATGACCAGGGCACTGGCCTCACAGTGCAGGGTCCTTGAGGCCCGAGCAGGACTCATTTGTCCTCACAGCCCTGGGTGGTGTGTACCATTACCCTCCTTTTATAGATAGTGTCTGGAAGGGGTGGATCTACCCAACGTCCCAGGAACCAGAGCTGCCTGGGGTGAGGGTGACAGAGAGGAAAAGGGGACCCACGTGGATGTATGAGCACAAGAAGTTGGAGTCCCACATATTTGGAAGGCACTGAGGGCTCACAGAGGGGAAATAGGCAGGTGGGGTTCAGGGGCTGAGCTGCCCTACACCCAGAGAATCTGCTGGCGCCGGAGCAGCTGCCCTACGAAGGACCGACACACATTTTCCATTATTTATGTTACTACGGGACAGTCCCAATTTCCAGCTCTCCAAATGGGGACTTTTCAGACTCTGTTTCTACAAAACACAGCAAAGAACTTCTGCCAGAACCTTCCTGGCCAGTAGCCCAGCTCCCAGGTCTCACGTCCCTGCGGGCAGTGAGTGGGTGGTGGGCTGTGGGAGAGGGGCTGCACCTCCAGTTCCCAAATCTAGTCCCCAAAGGGCTCCTTCCAGGCTGCCCTCATGCTGAGAAGTGTAAAGGTGGACATGGGCAGAAGGTCGAGCCCAGGCCACCTCAAGATGTCTCCAGTGCTCTCCCAAGTCCCCAAGGTGGGTGTGGGAGCCTGAGACCTGAGGGAGGGGTGAAGAAAGAGAAGTTCTCAGCAACCTGGGTAAGAGAGGTGTAGGAGAGACTCTGACTGCAATATTCAAGGATTTTGTTATGGAAAAAAAAAACACAGTTCAAATCCACCAGCTGCTCCATAGGAGAAAAATGGGCAATCTCGCATGCTGTTCACTGCCTCTGAAAACCCACTGGAGGGTCAGCTGTGGGTCAGTTCCAACAGCCCACAACAACAAAGTGGAGAAAATTGTCTCAAAACATGAAGATTAGAACTTAACCAAGGGCAAGTGCCCACAACCCAATGTGGCTTCAGAGGCTCTGACAGGCTTCAAGAGGACAGTTCAGAGGTCAGCTGAGGGTCTCACCTGGATACCTTCCACCACGTGACTCCCTGCTCCTCACAGACCATGGACCCTTGGCCTTCATGGAGCTGCCCCCTGACTCCAGAATGTCAGTCAGTCCAGGGGCCCAGAGGACAGTGTGTGTTCATGCCCATGCCCATTGGCACATGCCCTCATCTCCTCCACGCTGACCTCCATGTGGCTCCTGCCTAACTTCTCAGGTTTGTCAATGACCTGAGGGCAGACCCAGGGTCCTGGAACCAGTGTGTGTGTCACTGTACTCTACTCCCCGAAAGTGCTGCATCCTCCAACTACGGCATACTCTTGACCTTCACCCATGGCCATCTTCAAGGCTCATCTCCCCTCCTACCACCACTGGGAGACCCCAGGAAACCTCACACTACACACTTCCACTGTGTAGAGGAGGGGGACTGAGGCTGGAGGGGAGATGAGACATCAGGCAGGTTCCTGAGCTTGACTGAATTCTGGGGTAGAAGAGAGAACTGAGCTGTACCCGACCACCCTCATCTTGGCTCCTTAATCTCCTGAGTTTTGGAGGAAAGCAAACTTCAATCCAAGGGGAGGTGACTTACAAATCAGCCTTGACGAAGCCTTTCCCCTCTGTGTCAAACACCTTGAAGGCATGGAGAATAGTCTCCTCGGGGTCTGTGCCTGGAAACATCACACACAGGGCAGGGTGAGGGAGGGGTGAGGAGGGTTCCACTGACAGAGGCCACAGAGACATATAACACCTGCCCGAGTGGGACAGAGGCAAAGCCCAGGAACTGAGCTGCCAGGAGAAAGCTCTGCCTGCTGCCACAGCTGAGAAATCCTCACTGAAGAACTGTATCCTGAATTGTTCCTGATCCTGAATTGTAAGCTGTATTTCCCTAATAAGCCCCATCACTGTGAAGAGAGTCTGTGAGTTCTGAATGGCCATTGCAATGAACCCAGCAGGGGAGGAAAGGGTCATGGGAGAGGTGGCTGGGTTGGAAGTGGTAAAAGCGTTGGAAGTTCACAGTGTTTGACCTTCACCTCACTGGGAATCAACCTTGACCTGATGCTGGACCTGATTCTCTTGCCCACTTGTGAAGTCAAAGGTTTGACCCCATTTTCACACTCCTCCCATCAGATTGGGTGCTTGGTTAGCAGGAGACTCCGTGAGTACATAACACTGACTTGTGAGGTCCTGGTGGGTGTGGGGGTTCACAGCTGGGGGCCTCCTCCGGGCAGGGCAGCTGGGAGCTGAGCATGGGCCCGAGCTGGGGAGGCTCCTGACAGCTGGGAAGGCAGCATGACAGGCAGAGTGATGGCTCCCTCTGTCACCGTGGGGGCTGCCATGGGCGCCTGGCTTCCCACAGCTCCCAGAGCCCCACGTGCGCTTTGAGCATTCCCTGCCTGGTGGGTCTGAGACTGAGGTCAGCTGCATGTGGACTCAGTTAGCGCCGGCCCAAGGTCGGACACTCCGCCTGCCTGCCCACCCCCTCCCTTGGCTCCTCCCTGTGCTCATAAAGTGGACACAGTGGCACTGCTTCCCTGGCCTCGCTGGGGGCCTCATGATAAAGCCTCCTCGTCCCAATTAGTGGGATGAAGCAGTGCCCGTGCTTGTCCCCACCCACTGGCCGCTCACGCGGCTTGGCCACAATGGCACGACAGGCTCCACTGGGGCTCCAGCCTGGCGCTCCTGCAAAAATGAGAAAAAGCTGATGCCCTGAGGCCCCAGCTGGTCTGGGCCGTGGCTGTTTCACTGGCCTGCACTGCGACTTCAGGCTTGGTCTCCCATCTGTCACAAGCCTGGGGCCCATAGTGACCCGAAAGGGGCTCCCATTGCTCTTCTGTTGTCCTGAGCATCCAGAAAGGACCCCCTGCACCTCCCACTCTCCAAGCCTGCATCCCCTCTGCCCACCTCTCTCTCACACATGCAAACCTTGGGGCAGGAGGTGCCAATGCCTCATCCCACAGTGACTGCTGGGCAAGACAGTGGGCCCAGGGCTCCCAGGCCAAACTGAGCAGGCTCAGAAGCCCTGCCCCCAGTCCCTTCTAGGGGCAGGTAGTAGCTTAGTGGTAAGGAGTTGTGCTGCCAACCCAAAGGCAAGTGGTTTGAATCTACCAGCTGCTCTATAGGAGAAAGCTGGGCTATTTCCTCCCATGCTTTTTCCTGCCTCTGAAAACCTACTGGAGGTCAGCTCTGGGTCAGTTCCGACTTGACAGTATACAACAACAATGTGGGAAACTTGTCTGAAAACGTAAAGATCAAAGCATCAGAGTCCTTGACCAAGGGCTGCGCCCCGAGGCCAATGCGTCCACAGAGGCTCTAAAAGGCCTCATGGGGACGGCACAGAGGCCAGCAATCTCTTCCTGTGCAATTTATTGCCTCTGAAAACCCACTAGAGGGTCAGCCACGGGCCAGTTCAGACTTGATGGTGTAAAACAAGCAGCTCGGAGCTAAGGGAGGCGTCCTGACCATCTACTCTTCTTAAAGTCGCTGGCCTTTCCCACAGTTCCTGTGCCCCAAGCAGCCTCCTAGGCTTGAGCTCTTTAAAGAGACAGCGACGGTCCCAAGAACAACCCCCAGCGTTTGCTAGGAGACATCAAGGCCCAGTGACTCTGCTGTCCCAGCTGGACAGTCCTTGTCCATAGTCTGCCCTGGAGGAGAGTCCCTGGACCTCTCTGACCCTCTGTGTCTTCATCCCTAACACAGGAGGAATGGGTCACGGGAGAGTTCAGTGGGTAGAACAGGAGTCAGGATTAGCATTCCACCTTGAACTTGTCTCTTTGCTGGGCCACCGATCCTAACCTCTCTGTGATGGTCAAGAGTGTGTGTCAACCTGTCTGACCATGAGCCCTCGTTTACCAGTTACTCCGTTGATGAAATCGGAAGTAACACAATCATTTAACTTGCTAAATAACTGAAAGCGATTGATAAACAGCCAATCACTGAAAGGGAGCGTCATGGGAGGTGTGGCCCATGGGGAATATTTAGAGATCTGGCAAAGTTCTCCTGCTTTTGCTCGGTCTGAATCCTGCATCTGGTTCATCATCCCCTCTTCTTGGAACTGAACCATGGACCTGCCTTGGCTACTGATCTTGATTTCATCACACTGCCCAGCTCTGACCCACGGACCTGGGACCTGCCAGGAGCCACAAGTACCTGATCCATTTCCTTGAAAGAAATATCTCTTTTTTTAAAAAATATTTTTTTAAAATTTTATTATTTTTGTGTGCATGTACTGTCAAATCAGATCTGACTGGTACAGGAGGAGATTGTCCCTCCTTCCCCAGCAGAGCATCTGGTGGATTCGAACCGTTCGCCTCTGGGATTGTAGTTGCAGCTCCTTGCTACTAGGCCACCAGAGCTCCCCTGAAAGATCTCATTTTTTGTCCCTCTCTCTGTGTGTAGACACAGATAGACAGAGACTGTTATTGTTGTTAGGTGCCATCAAGTTGATTACGACGCTTGCAACTCTATGCACAAAGTGTCGGAACCTTGTCCTCTCCTGTACTATCCTCATCATCTTGGATATACTTGAGACCATGGATACAGTCACTGTGTCGGTTTGTATATCATCGAGAGTTCTCCTCTCTTTCCCTGACGCTCCGCATTTCTGAGCATGATGTCTTTCTGCAAGGACCAGCCCTTCCTGACAACATGACCTAAGTTTGTGAGACGAATTTTAGCATCCTTGCTTATGTCTCCGTGTGCAGGTGGGGAGATGGCTCCCCTGCCCAGCTCACCCCTCTTCTCCTCCGGCTGGACAGGACCTCACTCACCCTTAAGCTTCTCCCCAAACATGGTCAGGAAGACCGTGAAGTTGATGGGCCCGGGGGCCTCCTTTACCATGGCCTCCAGCTCCTCGTTCTTGACGTTGATGCGGCCTGAGGGACAGGTGGGGAGAGATGGAGTTAGGGGGTCCTTGTCTCAGTCCCCGACTCTCTCATCCCACTCACCCCCAACTCAGCGCTAGGGTCTTTCCCACCTGCCACGGTAGGGGGAGCATTCAAGCTCACACCTAGCGAAGGACTCCAAGAAAGAGAGCTAATCAGTCATCACCCCCATTTTATAGAGGCACAAACTGAGGCCAAAAGAGGCTGAAAGTCCTGAGGGACAAGCTGTGCCCTCAACGGCCCCAAGAGAGGTCAGTGAGTTTGGGCTGACATGGCGCTCTGGGGTTGCTCACCGTCCCAGTGAACAGCCAGACCCCAGGGCTCAGTGTAGAGATGACTTGACTGTGCCCACTTCTACTGATCCTCTCTCCATGCCAAAGCCTCTGCTGGCATTCAAAGCCTCATACCCAGCTCGGCCACCTCACCAGCTTCTCCCTGCTCTGGTGGGTCCTCCCCACACCCTGACCTTCCATGCCAGGCCTTGGCAGAACCTGCACCTGAGCTCTCCCCTTTGCTGGCTTGGGCCTTTGAGACCCAGAAACCCCTGGAGAGACCTTCACAGCATCCGTGTCCCTTATATTGGCAGCACCCACTGCCCCAGACTCCTGGGGCCTCATCCAGCAGAAGGGCCTCCTCCCAGTCCTGAGAGCCACGCAGCCCAGCCAACCCATGGTCTATAGACTGACCACTAACCCAGGTCACCCACCCAGTGCAGCAAAGGTGTCCCTCAGGTCCTCCTTGTCGATGAAGCCATCCCGGTTCTGGTCCATGATGGTGAAAGCCTAGCAGAGATGGGGGCACTGAAAAACCAGCTCTACCCAGTTTCCCCCTGCCCTGAGGCTGTCTCCTGTCAGCTGCTGCCCGAGGAACCTCAGGCCACACTGGTCCTCCTGAGGGGGTTTCATGTCTCTTGCCTCTTTCAGTGTTCATACTAATCCCATTTGACAGACAGGGAAACCGCGGCTCCAGGATATAAAGAGCTTGCTGAAGGGCACACTGAAGGCAAAGGCTCAGGTGCAGAGAGGGGAATTACCCAAAGGTGGGAAGAGCCTTGACCCCAGGTCCCTAAGGCACCCCTAGGTGGCCTCGAGGAATAAGAACATCATCTCCCCCAGAGGCTGAGGTCTGTCCGCTGCCTAGCTCAGGAAGCGTTTACACGTTACATCAATCCTTCCAACAACCAACCTCTTTAAACTCCTGGATCTGGGACTGGTCAAACATGGAGAAGACATTGGAGCTGGCTCCGCCCTCTGCTCTTTTCCGGGCTCTTCTGGGTCCCTGCAAAGCATCAGGTGAGATCTTGCAGTGACCTCCCCTCCTGGAGAGGTGGCTGTCCTCTCCACCCCAAGCCCCCCAAAGCATCACAGGCCTGGATGGCATGGTCCCCCCTGCTCTCTGGGCCAGGTGTCACAGCCTCTGAAGGGCATGTCTTGAAGCTTTGAAGACAAGCAGGGTGTTTTCCCAGGGGGAGACCCAACAGCTGCTTCCTGACCCCAAGCCTTAGGTCCTCAAAGGTAAGTAGCCTGCCAGTACTCAGGGTATGAAGGGGACTCGGCATCGATGGAGCTTCTACTTAAAGCTCGAAGGAGCCTGAGAAACAGCTTCTGGAACCTTCCCTAGTGCCCTCAGGGTAGCATCTAGACTCCTTAGCCAGCAAGCTCCCACCCCATGTGCCTCTTCCAACGTAGCCCTCCACCCACCTTGACCCCTCCTCCACCCCAAACCTGCTTGGAGCTTCCTTCTCTCCCGATTTCCATCCCATCTGGAATGCCTTCCACCAGAAGAGGCCTTTGAGCTCAACTCCTCTGTGTCTCCCTCTGAGAAGCTTCTAGACCCAGCGTTCTGCCCTCACCTCTACCCACCATCGTAGTCTTGTGCCACCCCTCCCTAGCACCCTATTTATCAACCCAGACAAATGCAAATTTCCATGACAACCCCCAGCCCCACCCTTATGTCCATCAGGCCCCCTCACCCCACTGAGGTCTGATTCCGACCTGACTCTGAGTGGAGAACCAGTCATTTCTGGAAATAGCTGCCCAGAGGGCCCACAGAGAAAGCAGTCCCACAGGGAACAGGTGTGGGGGCTCTGGCCATTCTTCCTGCTTCTAGACAGTTCTTTTAGGATTTCATGGGGCCAAACAGTCCACCATGAGGCATTCGCTGAAAGCTTTTGGGGCTCCAAAGGTCCCTGGGGGGCTGACTTTTCCTCAGCAGCCATCAGTGGAATTGGTGCTTAAGGGAAAACCATCAGGCTTGGGCTTCAGGAAGAAGTGGTTCGGTTTCCGGTGTTGGTAGCCCCTTGCTTCATATCCACGTCCTCCCCGCCCCCTGGGCGGCCTTATCTCCTGAGCAGGGGGTTCCCTTCATCCAGTGTCTGTGTGGTCCCCCTCACCAGGCTCACACTGCCCCCTCCTCCCGCCTCCCACTTCCCTCTGGCTCCTAGGCCCTTGTCAGGAGTGAGCAGCCCGCCTGACTTATAATTAGCTTTTACTGGGTGCTTTGTCTCCACTAATCCTTTGAAAGGGGGCTGGCGGGGCGGCTGAGCCGTTATAGTGCTGTAAAACCTCTGTAATATTTATAAATCCCTTCAGACATCATAAAGAAAAGAACCTCCCTGCAGAGTTCATCCGACATAATTACATCTACATTTCCCTCTGATTAATAAAAAATGATCACTTCCGGCTGTGGCATCCTCTGCCCTTTCTCCCCTCAGACCTCCGCCTCCCCCAGCCCTTTCCTGTTCATCTTGTTAAATGTCGCCCTACTGCGTGCCCGGCGCAATCTGGAAATTTCAAGGACAGTAGAGGTTACCCCGCTGCCTGGTTCCATGAAGGGGCACCTGAGGCTCGGGGCCCTGGTCAGGCTTCTGACCTCCCAGCCAAGCCTTTTGTCAGCCCAAGTGTCCTCAGAATTGACCTTGACAATGTACCCAGAAGAAAAATTCCTCTGGACAGAACACCTCACAGCAGAAGGGGCAGCCTGGCACAAGGGGTCACTCAGCCCTGGCTTTTCACCCTGACTTTGCTTTTACCACGAACATGACACACCTTCTCTGAACTCCAAGTTCCTGGTTATAAACTAGGAAAACACCTGCTTCAAAGAATCTCTTACATCAGGTCATTATACACCTGGTGGTCTCCAGTCAAGCCTGCTGCCCAATTCTGTGACCCCTCCCATCCCCAAAGAGTCCACCACCCCTCTGAGAGATGGGTGGACAGTGAAGGGAAGGGAAAACATGGACACTTAGAAAAGCCCCTATATTCCTGGAAGACTCAGGGCAGGCTTCCTGGAGGCGGTGACTGCCAAGCTGAGACTTGGTGCAGGAGTCTAAGTTCTCTGGCCAAGCAGATGAGGCAAAGGCCTAAGAGAGAATGCAGGGACACCACGAAGCTGAGCCCAGGGACATCAGCAGCAGGACGAGCCCACTTGCTTGACAGGCAGCCCCCACACCCAGCTCTGAAGGAGCCTGCTGACCTGGCCCAAGAACTGAGTCCTTTCCACAGAGGGAGCCTCGCTTCTGCCGCTGTGAAGCCACCAGTCCGTGTCTGCTGCTGCCTGGCCCACCCTGCTTCCTGTCCCCATTCTCTCCTCTTCCTCATGCCCTCACCTTCATCATCCTGGTCCCAACCAAATCAGGGGATGTGGAGACCCAAATCAAGGCTACGAGACCACTTATTTATAGCCAATGCTCTGATGGCCTAGTGGTAAAAGAAGCTTTGTTGCAATCCTGAAGGCACGCAGTTCAAATATACCAGATGCTCAGAGGGAGAATGGACAAACTCCTCCCACGCGATTAACTGCCTTTGAAAACTTGCTGGAAGGTCAGCTACAGGTCAGTAACGACTCGACGGCACACCACCACCACCACCACAAGGCACACCAAGGAGCCCTAGTGATGCAGCGATTTAGCAGGTCCCTTCATCCAGTGTCTCCTCCCCAGGCTGACCCTGTCCCTTCCTCAGGCCTCCCACTCCCCTCTGGCTCCTGGGCCCCTAAGCTTAGTTTTGCTAATTAAGCAAAAGAGAAAAACTATCCTCAGCTGCTAAGAGGTTGCCAGTTTGGAAGTTAATCAGTTTCTCCTGGGGTGAAAAGGCTTAACAATCTACTCCTGCAGGTATTTCAGCCCAGGAAGCAGGACAATGTGGTTCTGCTCTGTTTTAAACAGTCACTATGAACTAGAATTGATTTGACAGCACACAACACCGACAAAGGGTAGACCAGGCCCCAAGATGAGCCAGGTCAAGGCCATGGGTAATGGGAGGAATAAGGTGAAGGTCAGGTGAACTCAGGGATGAAGTGAAGCTCAGAATCACAAATGAAGTCAAGGTCAGAGGATGAAGTCAGCTTTGAGAAGTGATGGCAGGGTTGAAGGTGAGGCCAGGGCTGGGAGGAAGGAGGACTTTTCTGGGGAGGACAGTGGAGCAGCAAGAGGGATGGCCAGGAGAAGGCAGGGAGCACCAGCCTACCATGACACGGAGTGCTCCCTCACGCTGCAGCAGGGTGGCACGCGCTCGGGGCTGGCTCTTTAAATAGTGCTCGCTGAAGACCTGGCACCGGATCAGCCCCAGACAATAGTTTGGAAGGTGACAAAGGACAGGAAGGGGACCTCCCTGCCAGGCACCTGTCCTGCCAGAGTGGGTGGGGTTGTGAGATCCTTGGGTAATCCCGGTGAGCCACAGCCCGGCCAAACCTCAGACCTCTCTGTGCACGGGACAAACGTCTCCTCTGCCGTGCAACAAACAGGGCCCAGGAAGGGACACTTGGCCAAAGACGCAGTAAGCTGAGGCCTCGAACCAGCTGGAAAGAGCTAGTCTTGGTCCACTGAGGGTGACAGGAGCTCAGCAATAGCTATTCATGCCAACTAGGGGGGACCGGGGACTGCAATTCAGCAGATCCCTAGAGTTGCATGACTCCGGATAGAGGGTCCCCTTCTAAAAGTCTCGGTTGTCTGACAGGGAAAGTGGGAGGGGAGCGGCTCCTCATCGTGGACAGGGTTCTGTGGCTGCCTGGCCCACAGATATCCCTCAGCCAACATGGCTGCCACTCCGTGGTTATCAGCGTCAACATTAGCCACCCAGCCATGTTGCCCTCAGGGACCTCAAAACCTGCAAAAGCAAAGAAAACAGAGGTGACTAAACTGAAGAGAATGGAAAAGTCAGACTCCTGCCTGACCCTACACCCCCAGGTGTGGCCTGTTCTCCCAGGCCTGGCCCTGTCCAGGAATTCTCCGGTAGACAAGCCAGCAGAGCCAGCACCTGCCCCTGACAGGCCTTCTGCAGTTAGAGCCCTGGGCTAGGCCTCAAAGGGGCCCTTGTCCATCTGGCCCGGTCAGTTCCTGTGTGGAGCCTCCTACATTTGACTGGCTGCCAAGGCTGGCAATGCTGGGTTCAAGTAGTGAGTCCACCAACTGCCCCCAAGAGCTAGAGAGCTTAACTGTCCCTGGGAGCTGGCCTGAGGCCTCCAGGCCCTGCTGACCAGCAAGGGATTAGCTGTACCACATGCGGGCCCCTTGGGAGAAGGGACTGCAGTAACAGTGATAAGAAGAGGAGCTAATGTGCGTGGAGCACAGAGGGGCAGAGCCGTGCTTTACGGCCATGCTTAGCAAGTGTTCTTGTGGTCAATCTTTACCCCTTTTCCAGGTGAGGAAATTGAGGTACAGGAAGATAAAATCACTCACTGAAGGCTCATCAGATGGAGCGTCAAGGTGGTTGCTGTTGTTGTTAGGTGCTTTCAAAACAGTTCTCATAACAAACCAAACCAAACCAACCAAACAGAACACACACTCAAAGATAGTTCTCATCGATTGCAACCTTATGTGCAAAATGTTGAAACGTTGCTAATCATACACCTCCCTCACAATGCATTTAAACTCATTGCTGTGGTCACCTTATCAATAATCGTGCTGGTGGTCTTCCTCTATTATACATGAATCCTCTACTTGAAGAAGCATGATGTCTCTCTCCAGAGACTAGTCCTAATAACGTGGCCGAAACGCAGGCGACAAAGTCATGTGCCCAGGAGCCACAAAAGGTGAAGATTCACGATCCTTGCTTTTGAAGAGCAGGTTGGCTGTGTTTCTTCCAAGACAGATTTATAAATTCTTCTCTCTTTTGTTCATTCTTTGACTATGGTAGAGTCAAAATTCTCCCCCGACACCATCATTTAAAGGCATCAGCTCTTCTCTGGTGTTTTTGTTTTTGTTTGTTTTTTTAACTAATTGTTCATTTTTTTAATTCACTGCGTGCACACGAGGCGCTTGAATATACGATAGCTTGAGTCAGACTCATCGTAGTTCTCAAAGCGGTGACGTCTTTGCTTTTAACACCACAAAGGAGGCTTTTGCAGCAGATTTTTCCTATGCAATGCATCGTTTGATTTCCTGACTGTTCATAGGACCACTATGGGTTGGACTCAACGGCACCTAACAATAACACAGTCAAATGACTTTGCATAGTCAATAAAGCACAAGTAAATATCTTTCTGACAGTCTCTGCTTTTAGCCAAGATCATGTGACTGACATCAGCAATGGTATCCCTAGTCCTAAGACTTCTTCTGCATCTAGCTTAAATTTCTGGCAATTCCCTGTTTATGTACGAGTCTAGTCATTTTTAAACACTCTTCAAAAATATTTTCGTGGCAATTGATATTAGGGAGATGGTTTGATAATTTCCACACTCCATTCATTGCCCCTCCTTTTTTTTGAGTGGCCACTTTCTCTTTCAGTCAGTTGGCCAGAAAGCTGTCTTCCAAATCTCTTGGTGTAGATAGTCCCATCCAGGCCTGCATCTGCTTGTTGAAACACCGCAGTTGGTATTCTGTCAATTCCTGGAGCCTTAGTTTTTGCTAATGGCTTCAATGCAGCTTGTATTTCTTCCTTTAGTATCATTGGGTTTTGACCATATTTCTGTTTGGGAATGGGGCCTTTGAAGATGCAATCATTAAATTAAAGCAAGGTCATACAGGAATGAGGGGGGTGTCTTAATCCAACATGGCTCTTTCTTACAGAAGAAAAAAAGACAACAGGAAGCAACAATGTGAATGTAACTTGAAGCCAAGGAGCACTGGATAAAAAGGCAAAGCCCTAAGAAGGCAGGGAACAAGTTATCCCTCAGAGCCTCAGACGGAATCAACCCCGCCCACACCCTGGACCCAGACTCCCAGGCTCCAGGCCTGCAAGGCAGTAAGTTCCCGCTCTTCTAAGCCACCCAGTCTGTGGTATTTTGCCACAATCTCTGGGCATCACCACCCCAAACCATAGAGGGTCTCCAAGTAAACCAGGACCTTCAGGAGGAAGGGAAGAGGAATAATAACAAATCTCGGAGTAAATCCCAGTGGGATTACAAGCTTTTAGCAAATTAGTCGCATGATGTTTTCTTCCTTGGCCTCCTCCTCCTCCATAATGTTGCCGTGATTGGGTGTCATCAAGTCTATTTCAACTCACAACAACCTCTCCAGGGCACCGTTGCAGAAAGAGCCCATCAGAAACCTGGTGGAGGCTGGAAGTTCCCCAGAATGAGGTGATTGTAAAACATTTGTCCCTGGACAGAGAAGCAGGAGACATGGTGTGTACAGAGGTGAGGAGAGGAGGCTGTGAGCTCTGCCCTCACTGTAGCAGTCTCACCCCGTGACTCAAGCACCCTCAGTTGTCCCCATCTGAGAAATGGTGTCAATAACCTGGTCTCCTCAAAGTTACCCTTGGCTAGCCTGACTTCCCTCCCTCAGCACAGCTGAGTCAGAATCAACTCCTAACCCTCCAGCAGGTTCCTGAGGCTGTCAGTTGCAGGGAAGGGCATCGCCCATCTTTTCTCTGAGGAGTTGTTAGTGGGTTCAAACCACAAAACGGATGCAGTCTTTGGGTGAACAGCCCAGGTTGGAAGGGCTGACTTCCTCTACCTTCTTCCCTGTGTCCCCATTTGCCCACTTTCCTCTCTGCAAGGTCTCCAAAGCTCACTTCCTTCACTGGCCACAGGGGGCTCTGATGAGTCAGCTGTCACTGCTGGGCCACCCTGCTTGATTCAACTATACAGGAGACACTAGCTTGTCCCGAGATACACACCTGAGGAGTCTGGACTCAGTCCACAGACAATGGGAGCAAGAAGCCTTTAGAGCTAATGTCCACGTCCAGAGCTTCCTCAATTACCAAGCCTTGCTCTTGTTGCAGGCTTCCACTGTAACCAAACCTCCTCCTCTCATCTTCCACCAAGTGCCTCCGTTCCCCAAAGCCTTCTCTGATCTCCCTTCTCTGTTCTTTTCCACCGATTCCATGTCATTCTGAAATCTTGACTTACAGACTAAGGACAGCTTTCTTTGATTATCACCAAATAGGGGTACTCACCACCACCACCACTCAGCTTTCTCCCAGGTGGCCTCCAGGATGCTGGCAGCAGTGAGGGGCCTCAAAGGCAAGCCCCCCCTGAGCCCTGAGCTCTCACCAGGAAAAATTCCCCAGGCTCTTTCACAGTACTAATTACTCGTTATCCCAAAGGCTTCATCCTGTGAAGGGCTTGTTTATATGCCACCTTCCACTTGGGGAGTCATTGTTACAGACTTTCTGGCCAAAGAAACCACAAAGGTTCAGTGAAATAATGGACCCTCTGAGTCCAGCTCTGTTAGAT